TGTGTGTGTGTGTGTGTGTGTGTGTGTGTGTGTGTGTGTGTGTGTGTTTAATTGCTCTTTTAGCTACTTTTGCCTGAACCCAACACTGTAAGTGAAACAAGGCATTTCTTGAGTTGCTGTAAATTATGATATAAAACATATTTACTGTCTCATTCCAGAAAACAACAACAACAAACAACAACATCCTTCATGATGGACAGACATCATGGACACCACAGCAGCAGCTGTCTTCACTGAAACATCCTGAACATGATCGTCACTGACATGAGGCCTCTGTCCATGGTTGAAGACGAAGGCTTCACTACAATGTAGTGAACTCGGCCTCCGACCAAAACTTGCCTCTGAAGACCTTCATGGGACAGGAACTGTTATTTCATTGATTTGAATCCAGAAATACAAATTGGCTCATCCAGAGACTCTAATTGTATCCTGAACTAATCAATTGAAAGAACACTCTTCTTTTTATATTATCATTACTATTTTACAATATCTTGATAATCAAAAGTGTGTTTAGTTCAAAACATTTCTAAATGTTGAAATGAACCACTCATTTTAAATCAACTGTGAAACAGTATTAATGATTTTTTTAAAACCTCATTTAAATTAGAAATCAAGTTAAATGTCTATTTACAAAGTAATTATGCATTTTGATTTTCTGTCTAAATGAGAAGTAGTGATGTCGGTCAAAAGTCGGAGACAGTCAGAAAACAAGTTATTAGAACGGGCTGTATTGTTTTTAAACCTAGCAGACGGTAAAAAGAGAAGCACTGGCAGCTGCCTCCTCTCACTTCTTCATAACATTTCTCTGTCTGTACTAAACGTTCCTAAACATTCTTGAACCCTCTCTTGACTTTTAATAACCCTCTGACATCACTAGAACACCCCCTGTTGGTTGTTTCAACCAATCAGGAAGTATTAAGTGACCGGAAGTGAAGACTCTTTAAAAGTCGACACTTCCTGGAACTATTCAGTCTTGGAGTTCTTCTGAGTTCTTCTGAGTCTTCTTCAGGCTTCTTCAGTCTTCTGAGAGTTGGACTCAGTCTTTGATGGAGTCTCCTCAAGCATTCTGGAGTCTTCCACTTCTGAGTGGAAACTCTGACGGAGTCACAGATACTTGCTGTGAATCCACCCGGGCGTAACGCCTACAACTTCGAAGGAAGCGTGTCTGTTTAACGGAGTAAACCACACGACTTCTGACGATGCCCAGCCACCCTGACTGGAGACGCTGTAAAAGGATTGTACTAATGGACTTCTGTTCCGGAGCGGAGGTATCCCCGTCTAAGGTAACGAAGTCTCTGCACGTCCTGAAGTGTACCGGAGGTTTGAGCTGGTGTTGAAAGAAGCATGCTAATTCTGGTCAATCCAAACATACACCTCCCTTCATCCATCTCCTTTAAACTTCTCCATTCCTTCCTTTAAACTCTTCTATTTTGCCAGTAATCTAGATGCCTTCAGAAATGTCCTGTTGTCTTATTAGTAAAGCGTGCCAAGTTTTATTAATCAGAACCAGATCAGCTAATCAATGTGTACATGTTTTGATGTTAAATTTTGATTCTGTTAAATAAATGACCGCATTTATTCTGATGGGTCAAACAAAATAACGTCTCATGTCACTGATTAAACAATGAACACAGTTATCTCGTCACATGGCATTAATTTAACTCGAAAAAGAAAGAACCCGTTGTTAAATAATTAATTAGTAGTGAAGCGACAGCAAAGGCTGACCCCCACATTTCACTACATTTGGTGGGACTGTACGTGTTTTAAATAACATAAATACTGGCCCGTGCATCCACAGTTAAGCTGTCCGTTGACTACTACAACAATAATCCACACTTTTAATCCAGGTTACAATAATCCACACTTTTAATCCAGGTTACACTCTTACCTCAATGACACATTTTACAAAGTATCTACATATTGTGCAGGTATAAAGACACATTTGTATATATTTTTGTGTACATTAATTTTTTTAAGCTATTTGACGTCATTTTTATTTTTTATTATTCAATATTTTACTAACAGAATAGTCAAATAGCAACCTGTTTTTTGTGTGAATTGCTATGTCAGTCAAATGTTCAATTTTGGAATAAAGGGGTGGAAATTAAAATGTGTCTTTTTTTGCCGATTCATTGATTAATCGAAAAAATAATCGGCCGATGAATCGATTATTGAAATAATCATTAGTTGCAGCCCTAGATGACAGTGATGATGATGATAACAATGGTAACACTGGTGACGATGACAGTGGCTATGATGATCGTGAAGATGACAATGGCGATGATGATGGTGATGGTGGTGATGATGATGATGGTGATGAGAATGAGAACGACGGTGGTGACAGTGGTGGTGGTGGTAATGACGTGGTGACGATGATG